ACCCAGGACTCTTAGCATCATGTCCCGAATATTCTCCTTGCCAGGGAGACAAAGATGGGGAGAGGCAAACTAATGTGACTACATCCAACCACTAACTGAGTCGATGACTCTTTCGTCAGTAGTTATCATCCGCACACTGGTCAGCTCTGCACATCTCTGTCTCCCTCTTCGGGTGCCCGATTACTTGGGCTAGTGAGTCTGGTGACAATGTGATGCAAAACTAAACAAAACTGGCCAACATTCCCTACCCAATATCATTTCATTGCTTTGGTTATAAAATACTGGATACTTACTTCTTTACATCCCCCAATCCTAACACACATAAAACCCACACTGACCAGTGACATGGGCCTGGAGAAGTCTTGAGAGAATTTTCTTTATTTCCCATCCCCTTCTGTGGGTTTCTTTCATTCATGTGTTTACCTGTTTGCTTTTTCAGGGGAGGGGGAGAAATGGAGGGTTTGAGCCAAAATAGTGACTTCATTAAACATCTGCTGGGTCTTCGAAGTCTCAGTAAATATTGAATAAGCTCCCTGGAGCTCTGCTGTTGCTGCCTAAGACGGGGCAGTCAGCCCTGACTTGCATGAGCAGTCTTGTTTGGATATCTGCACATGTTTGCCTTCTATTGGTTCAGACTCACCTTGGAACAGAGCTGGGTCTGTTAAATCTGAGACCTTGCTTCTGGTACTATACACATAGGGCATTAGGAAGTGGCCCGATGTTTTGCTCATCCTAAAGTCACTCAATGACTTGCAGCAGCCTTCAGCCTTCCTTCAGTTGTGAGAAGTTTGTTTTCAAATCTTCCCAGATTTGTAGACCAAGCCCTCAGGGCCTTGTTCTTCCCAGTTAGCAACTTTCTAGCTCTCCCACCCTAGATCCTCTCTTTTCTTAGAGAGCCTCAGGACATGACCAAGATTGTGCCAGTTGCAAAGCAGACATTGGTACTCAAGCTCCATTCCGGAAGTATATATGAAGAGTGGGTTTGGATTCTATTTTTAGAGTGAAGGAGGAAGTTGGAATCTATATATATTTTAACTCTGATTTTTGGCAATACCGTTAAGGGGGAAAAAAAAGAGGCTCCTAAAGTCAAAAGCCTTACTGTCAGTCTCCACTGCTGAGACACATGACATTGGGGATGTTCTGAAAAGCTCTAAATGCTAGTAAAGGTTTTCATTAATCCTTCAGCAGGACAGAAGTCAGTGTCTACATTTTTCCTTTTTCAATGGTCATATGACTCTAATTAAACTTATTTTCCAAACCATCAGTCAGAGGTCGGGTGGAACAAATGTCCAGATTCATCCATCCTCTTATGATTGACATAAAGGGACATCCTGTAAATCAGTCAATCCCTTTTGCTTTGCACATAGCCCACAGGGCGTGCTGAGAACACCTTATAATCCACCTTTGGCTTTTCCCAAAGGCATACATATTGTCCCTAACCTGCCCTCTAGAATTTTGTGCAGCAAGGCAGCACCAACATGTGACCTCATGATATTTCATAATTTTTATTTAAGAGCCCAAATAGTAAAATACACTCAGGCAAAATGAAAGACAATAGGCTATTCTTCCCACCTTGATGAGAGAATAAGCACTTCCTGGTTAATGGGAGAAAAAATTAACTAAGCAGACCCCTGGGAAGTTGATATTACCAAAAATCAAGGAGACATTCTATAAATGAGGTGAAGACACAGGACCAGAGACCCAATGTGAAAAAAGAAAGTCATGTAAGTTAAGTGGCTGTCACTTAGCTATACAAAGCAGGAACAGTTACTAATCTGCCTCTAAGGAGGTCAGTTACATTTTAATAGCTGTATGAAACACTTCTACATTACTATGCAGGCATCTCCATTCATGCCCGTTCAAGAAAATCATTGTTGATCCCACTAGTATTTTCACTAAGCAATAAATAAAGTCAGTTTTTGATAGTTCCAAGACATAAGTCTTTCAAACAATAAGTGTTTGAGTAAACCCAGATGCTATGATAATATCTAAAATTTCTTGGAAACTATTTCAATAATAGACAAGCTAATGCAGCTTAAAAGGCCTAACTGATAGCTCCATGTAAACACAGCCTATGGGAGAAACATGATTAGGGAATAAGAAAGAGAACTCAGACTTTTATATATGATATAAATATATCATAGATATATACTATGATATATAAATAGATATACTTTTCCCTGTGAGACTAAGAACTACAATTCTTCAAAGGAACATACCTTATAAAACACATGATAGGTAGGTGAGTATTGGCAAACTAATAATTTCTCAGCATAATTGATTTTCCTCTACCTCAAAATAATGAGTTCTTGTTAATTTCATAAAAGAATACATCACAAGAAATCATAAAAATTCATGTTGCGATAAATAGGTTACATAATTACAGACTTAACCCTGATAACACCAAGGCATTCTACATAGTGTAGGATTCCTGAGCTTTGTCCATTCATTTTCTCCATTGGCCCTTCCACAGCCTTTCTTCCAGAAAATTCTTACATGTTCTATCGAACATCTTCCTCCCTGGTAGCCTATGTCTTTCTATGTTTCCTTCCTCTGCTTCATTTCTCCATTGGGCTATCCTCAGGGAGAATTGTCTGCACACACATAAACGACCTCCTTCTTTAAAAATATAGCACAACTGGGTGATTTTTCCATCATCCTTTTCCCCAGTTGACTAGCACTGCCTCAGCCAAATCTCATCCCCCCACCGGCTTATCTGACATACTGTTACATTATCGTACATATAGAACAAAGGGGAAGCTTAAGGACAACAGTGTGAATGTGCTGCAACCGGGTTCTTTATGTTACTGCTTTAGCGCCCCACGTAAGTCTCAACACCATTTTGAGGTTAAAAATCAATGGGGGCCGAGATAAGCCTTGAATGTAGAGGTTAACAACTGAGGAAGCGGAAATGATTATTCTCAGTATGATTTTCCAGCAACTCACTAGATAACATCACATTTTTGAAATTTGTTTTGTTTGTGGGTGGTTTTTATAGAATTTAAAACATTAGAAAGCTGATGTTGCCATGAAAAATCAGTCACAACGGAGCTTTAATATTTACACAATATACCAGCTAGTGATGTGACTGATATGTTGCTCCCATTTAAAAAATAAAATAAAATACTTTTGGTTCTTGCACACCTAGTTTTCATGCTTTTCTCATTTCAGACAACTAGTTTAAGAATGTATTTTCAACTTTAGTTTTTATCTATCCATTTTATTTTTTTATTCAGTTATTAATGGAATGGACAAAAGATCCTTTGATTGTACCATCAAATACAATCATATACTATGATTTCATAATAGTCTCACATTTACAAAAGAAATTATGATACGAAATTGGTTGGTCTATTCTTTTGGGGGCTATAATCTTAAATATTACTTATGGGTAAAACTATAGTGTCTATTTTAAAAAGAAAATATATATATATTAAAATAGCATTATAATCATATACTATAGGGACTTTAGATACTGAGGAACTAAACCTCAGCTAATGGGACCAAAGGAAGATCCAAGTCCAAATTCAAAGGTCAATGGAAATTCCATGATACCGGGGGTTGCCTTATAACAAAGCCTCCAAAATGGTTGATCAGAATTATCTCTAACTTCCTCTTCTTCTATTTTGCAATGGAAGTAAGCTTGTTTGTTTGCACCTATTCTTCATTATAGCTCACCTACTATGGGAGGAAATCAAGGCTGTGCTGAATGGCCATGGTACCTCCCTCCCACAGCAGCTGAGTGTATATATATATGTGTGTGTGTGTGTGTGTGTGTGTGTGTGTGTGTGTGTGTGTGTATTTGTATGTATGTATGTATGGACGTATAATTTCTTCAGCGCAGCATTCAGAGAGAACACTGCTATAGAGACTAAGATTAGGAATGACTTGGGCCACATAGTAATTGTAGGAATGGAGAGGAAAACACCAGCACCACCAGACCCACTGGTTTTCCTTTAATAGGTATCATGGGGTATAATTAACCCACTGAAAATATACATACCACATACATGGTTCAAAAGTAATTATTTCCAAAAGAAACCCCTCATAATTACAAATATTTAAGTATTTCTTTTCTTTCCATCTCCCCTTTCTCCTCTCTAGGAGCATATGACAGATATATTGTTTTTATATGTGTATTCTCTGTGCCACTTTTAGTTGAGCTCCTTCTTCTTTTTCTGGCCTTGTGTATGTTTCTACGTTTTTGTGGTTAAGAAATGAGTCCCACTCTCTACAGCTTAAGGTTAGAAACTGTGAATTTTCTAAATCTTTCTGCCTCCTCCTCCCGAGCTTGTCAATTTCATTTCTTTTTTAGCACTCTCTCCACCTGCCTAGAAATTAACCATCAGATTACAGATGATCATTCTAACCTCCCAGAGTGAGGGATCATTCTTGGTATCTAAAATATACCAATAAATTCTGGGATATGAAGACTGAGAGCACTACATGGCTAGAAACTGGAACATCAGAAATGACTCTAACATAAGGTCTAACCTTAACACCAACGTCTAATCACACCACCAATGTCTAACCACATGGCCTGGGCTCAAGAACTTGTAACATTTGGGAATTTTCCAACTGGGCTCCATCCATGCCAAATAGAGCCAAGGCAATACCCTTTATCTTAACGTAGACAGTAGCTTCCCTAATGTAGTAATTATTCAGGTAAGTCTTTTCCTCTGGTCTCAAAGCATGCATCAGCTGTATCAGTTCCTTCTCAATGCAGAATGAACACACACTGAATCAGGGTTTCTTCCTCTCCGTCTTGGGATCTTTTCACATAGGGCTTTTTACTAAGAAGAGAGGTGATACGGCTACTACTTAGCCCAATGCCATTTGAGTAGTGAAAGAAGTATGGAGCTGTTAGAGATTTATGTTCTTCCGATAAACTCCTGTCTTTCAGTAAGCCAATAGGGCTCTGTTGAAATAGGGATTCAGTTCTTAATGTCCTTGCCATTATATAACTTTTTAAAACAATAAGCTCTCTTATAATCATACCTTTAACCAGCTAATCTAGTTTTCTTTCATCTCTTGCTGAAATTCTTCTCCAGCCAATGCCGGACTTCTTGAAGGTTGTAGGAGAAGGGGCCCTTTCCTCCCAGATAAGCGATTTTCTGTCTCTGCACAATGCACACACGTTCAAAGGCTACCCCGTAAGCTATGTTGGCGTTATTGTCCATGCGGTCAGCCACAACTCGGCACTGGGGCGGCAAGGAGAAACGCTCCAGAAGCTGCTGGGCTGCTGCACATCGATCTTCCTGGTTCTGGTGCTTCTTCACCTCAAAAGACAAAGAGGAGTCCCCAGGTATCGCCCAGCCGTCTGATGGATGAGCCTCATCAATGTAGACCAGCAGGAAGTCGGCCACTGAGGAGAACTCTTCCACCAGTTTGCGGAAGGCTGGCAGCTGGCTCGTGAAAGGAGGTCAAGTGGCTGAACCAAAGTTGACCACTAGTGGGCGCTCAGGGCTAGCAAAGTCAAGGAGGTGGCATGCGGCTCCCTCCGCTATCTTCTCCTGGGTACCGTGGCCACTGTTGTCACCTCCTTCTGCACTGGAGACATGCACCACACTGGAATTGGGGGCATCCTCACCCAATTTCACCTGAGGGTAAAACAAAAAAAAAGAAGGTGAGAACATCACATTAAACACATTGCCACTTCAATTCACATTAAATAGTTACAATTGGCTCTAACAGAACGTGATATTTCCTTCAGAGCATGTGGTAAACATGTATCGATTTGAGTAAAGAGGCTTCATGGCAGGTAATGTAAAGAATGGCCCAAAAGAGAGTAAGTCTTTTTTATTCTGTATAGTCACTGAAGGTAATTATTTTCATCACTGAAGGCACTGGAGTTAACTCTTTTTATAATTAAGCCAAGGCTGGTATTCTTTACTGTCTTTATTTTGCTGTCAATTCTTAACATGCATTTGATAACAAATGATTAATTGACTTCATTTTAAAAGTTAGAAGCAAATGGTCTACTTTAAGACAAATTATCAGGGTCTTGGGACATGGTGCCTCCTTCTGAATTCTGAAACACCAGGCAGGACCTTTATTTTCTTGCATGATACTAAGTTATTTAATCTCAACCAATGGCCAATGATACCAGTGGGCTCTATTCTTGGCCAGACCTAGAAAACCTGAGGTCTACCATTTATAAGAAGGGTTACTTCCACTTAACCTCTTTAGTGATTCAGTTTTCCCACCCGTAAAATGGAAACAATAATGCCTGTCTTTCACATATGGCAACTGGAGGGCAACAAGAGAAAAAGAGCTCTTTGTGCACTGTAATTATATGGGTGTGTGTTGCCCTTATCAGATGCTACCCCACCATGTGAAATAAAACATCATCATTCTTGGGCAATTTTGTGTTTAAAATATATATCTATCCTGAGCAAAGCTTTGAACTCTCCTCAATATGGCATCCTCCCTGGAGGCTTCTACTGCCACTGCTTACAAGGTGGTTCTTACCACTCCAAACTTACAATTTCCATTAAAAAAAAAAAAGACAAAAAGAAACAAAAATGGTTACTCCAGAGTTCTATATTAATTTCTCATTTTCCAAGTGTGCTTGTTTCGCTCTCTTTATCTAGGCAGTCACACTAAAAAGTACTTTTCTACCCCACAATTTGTTAACAAGCTCCTCTGAATTATAAAATATTGGGGCAGAAGAGGTAGAGATAAAAATTGTTTCATGTGTTCCCTTTGCACATGGTTTAAATAGTTGAAAACAGAATGAAGGAAAGTTTGCAGCCTTTGAATCTGTAAATTGATAATAAAAAGCAGGCAACAGTAAAAGAGCCAATTACTTCAGTTTGAATTAATACAGTTGGATCTTCCTTGGAATGGTTTAATCAAAGCCAATAACATTAGGGACAACTTACGACAGTACAATTGATTTTTATATACTATCCTTAATATTATAATATACTTCCAACTGGATCGACTTATTTCCCTCATATACATATAGCCACACATAATGTTACTGTTAATTGAAGTCACCTAGAAGTGAATTGTTAAAGATTTAACAATCCAAACTGATATAACACACTCAAGGGCTTTTAGTCAGAAGTTTCTATCTACTGTTGATGCATAACTCATTTTAACTGTAGAGAAAGAATTAAAGTTCTTTCTCTCCCTTCTAAAAAATCCTAGAAGGGCATGTTTGAAATAAGCATTATTAGTGTTCTAAGAGAAATCTTATGGTAATAATCTTCCTTCTTAGAAAGGAAGATGCTGGTGTGATTTAAGTAAGTACATTTTGTTTTTTAGTCACCGCCACAGAGAAAATTATTTTACTTATACTAACTTTCTTGGTTAATTTGCAAGTGACACTAGATGGAGAAATCTAATAAGCACATTTAGCTGGATTCTTTCATATGAACTACACTAGTCTTTAAGGCGTGAAAATATACATCAAATTTAAAGATATACATGTTGAAGGTATTACAAACATTTTAATCCATGGATTATTTTTGTACTTCCTTTTTTATAGATCTAGGTAATGGGTAGCAGCCTCTTCTCTTTAGATCTTTCCCATTTGAAATAATAGTAATGATTCCAGAAGGGATGTTTTAACAATATCATGTGTACTGTGTACCTCAACATACTGTGATAAGAAGACCTAAATGCATTCAGATTAGTCTGTTATAGTGACTTCCTGTTAAGTAAGCAACCTGTACACTTGTAGGTTCTTGATAGGTAAAAACATGCATCTGCATTTTGGAATCATTTTTGAAACCTATGAACAATTATGTGGCCTTGATAAATGGGCCTCTGACCCCCGACTCATCCAAGCAGACCTGTTGATCCTTTCATTATGTCTGATTATTCAACTGAATAATCTAATCTGATGCTTTTGTCACAGGAGGCTCTCTTGTTACCTGCAGTAAATTTTCTTGGGAAGTTAATGCACCCTCTCTTTCTTAGAGACAATGTATAGTTCAGCTGCAGAATTCTTTCCAAAACACAGACTAATTTGCCTTGGGAAATTTAGAGTAAGTATAACACTGTCACTCTAAAATGAAAAATTAGGAAAGTTACCAAATTCATAATGCTCTTTATGTGGGGGATTTAGCATTTTGTTAGGATTAGGGTTAGACAGGGAAGTATTTATTTTATTGAATGAATGCTAGTTGTTATAATCCTAGGTCAGTGAAGAATTTTACACATAATCATCACCCTGATCTGCAATGAACATAATCATATTTGGGTGATGGATAAGCTCACTGAGGCAGATAAATTTAGAAATACGAATCCTGGAGCTGTCTCGTAGAGTACTACCATAATCACCACTCAGTGTCATTGATCCGTCCTTGATTGTCGCATCTGGTCAGTGCACAAAACAAATGTGGCCTATTCTTTTTATTTTTTTTGAGCAGCCAGGGTCCCTTACTGAATCTTATAATGTCATAAATGGATATTCTTATTCATGAAGGTGCCTAGACAAGAGAAAATGCATAGATAAAATTAATATTATTAATAAAACTAAGAAGGAAAAACACACACCCACCATCCATAAATCCAAATGTGAGTAGACCAGTAGTCTGCTTTTATAAGCTTCATATACTAGTCATAAAATGTGTCCATCTTTGCTAAAACCTGATGGAGGACAATTTAGCTAAAATAAAGAAAAAAACACTTTTTTTAGATATGGAAGTTTCCTTTAAACTAAAAGAAAATATTCTAAAAAGATATTACTGTTCATTCTCATCTCCCCATTTGGTCACCATAAAAATTAAATTCCTAACAGACCAGAGTTTCAAATGGAGAACTTCTTGGTTTGCTGGGTTATGCGCCCTGCTGAGACAGGCTGGGAGAATCACCATTGTCTTCGATGATGGAAGATTGTTTGCTCTCCCCAGGAGCAAAGCATTCCTTGACACAGAGCCAAAATGATGAAGAAAATAAAGTCGGTCCCATAATAACATTTAGGCTGCAGGAAAGAAGCTCAACAAAAACAAGTTATCCCTTGGTACTCCCAAACTTTGTTTTAATTTCCCACAGTGGCACAGAAAGTCTGGCCACAAGTTACCTATCATCTTAATTTCTTCTTCTTAGAGGGTTTGTGTTTGGTTTTTGTCCTTAATGAGACATATTTGCCAAAGAGGCATTCAAAAGGCATTTTTTACTCTTGCGGAAGAGTAATTAGGTCGGTACCTCTTTCCCTGCCAGCATTAGCTGCTCTAAAGAGAACCCTGCCCAGTATTTAATGCCCAAACACAAGAAGCATCATTTCCACTAATTGGTCTTGAAGTTCCGATGTTCCCAAAGGGTCCCTTTATTCTGCAAGGATCAGAAAGGACATACGTAAAATGTGATATTGTCATCGCTGACTTTTATCTCTCTCATCTGCACTATTACAGTGGTCCTTTCTTACGATTTTGCAAGCAACATCAACACAACACCAACAAAGGAGGTAAATAAAGGATTTGCATTTTTACAACAGAAGACATCTCTGGGCCAAGTTCAGATGTTGCAATGGACATCTTTATGAGTATGAACATGAACATAAACATATAGCATATATAAAAATTTGATTCCCTTGATGATGTTCAGTGTTCAGTGCATGGGGAAAAAGGAAATGCTGCTTTAGCATGTGGACTGTGAAATGCAGGGCAAGGGAGAGAAAAGAACCATTCATCAAGTAGAAGCAGAAAATACAGCATATACTACTAACCTTGTTTTTTGTTTTGGAGTTTTATTTCTTTTTCTTTTCCACAGCCTGAGAAAGGCTTGTGGACAATATATCACATAATCTCATAATAGAATGTAAAGCAAATTATAAAAATGAAGGGTGGGTGTGTGGCAGCAGAATTTTCACACATACTTCTTGCTGTCCAAAGCCCTGAAAATGGCTTTATTAACTATCAGGAAGTTTCAAATTCTTTGACATAATGACCAGGCTACATCAATGTCCTTAGAAACATGGCCAAACTATCATTAAGCAGAGATTTAACCATTTATATTCAGATTGGCCAAATAAATCAGAGTTGAAGAATAGGCTACGTACTCCTTCCTCTGAGCTCAATTCCCTTTTAGCTATTCTCTTTTTAATTTGTACCTTGAAAATGTAGCTCTAAGCTCTATCATTCCCCAATGTTTTATCCAAGTGATGGACAAGCTCTGGCTGTGGCCTGCTTTGTGTTCTTTGGGGACTGTTTCTCTCTTAAAAGGGCCATTTTCCATTGTGGAAACTAGTGTCAAAGGCTTGAGGTGAATGAAGAGGAGGAGGAGAATGTTAAAGAGACCCTTTCAAAACCAAAATTATATGTTCAAATGAATATGTTTTCTGTACCTCTGCAATATTAACCGTGCAGAAGCTAAACTGCCTGTCAGCATCTATACTGTGTGTTTACTTTTACACTTCATTTAGGTAAGAGCCAGGCTCCCAGACAGAGCAGTTTGCTTATTGGTTGCATGTTTTTAGTCTCTGAGCACCAACACAAGGATATACTGTTCAGATGCAATGACACTGACTGTAGAAACTTAAATAACAAACACCTTTTATTCACCTCAGGGTCTCTCACCAGTGTCTATAGACTTTCCTTTCAATCAAAATTGTACACAGAATCTATCTCTTACTAAACTCACATTATCTTTAAAGGCTTCTCCATAAAGTTAATTCAAATCCTTTTCAACCTTTTAAGAAAGGGTTTATTTAAAAAAATAAAAAGAAAAGAAAATTTTATTTTGTTCTTTCTTTATTTCTGTGTTGCCCCTTGTGGAGGCAAAGCACAGGGATAATACTTTTACTCCACTTTCTCTACATATCTTTATGGGCATCTGACATGCAGCAACAAGGAGAATTAATAACGGCAAATCACATGTCTAGTTTTATCACATGGGCACACACCCCTCTCATCCTGGAAAACTTCACTTCTAGGGATGGGCAGCCTTGAAATAATGCAAATCAGGATTATGAAATAGTGTGATGCCATCTCAAACAGAACCTCCTACAATGTCTCTAGAAATGACTACACCCAAAGACAGTGGCACAGATGAAAACAGCATTCAGAGAAGTGATTCAACCTGGTTGAGAGGTTCTGAGTGACCCTCAAATGCCACCAGAGAAACCACTACCCTTGCCATACTTGAAGACAGAAAGAGACCATCATTCAGTTCCAGCTGTGTTCATAATGTTTCCATTTATCACACACCCACTCCAGTCTTGTCTTTGGACATGTGGGTCCTGAGGTTGCTTCTACACATGGTAGCTATTACATAAATCATCAAAAGCAAACGTAGTAACATCAGTCGTGAACTTGGTCACTAATCAAATCAGTAGGCAGGGACAAAAAAATACAGAAGAGGAATATACAAACCATATGCAAAAAGAAAAAACAAATCACTCATCCTTCCCAATTTCCTGGAATAGGAATAACAACATATTGCAACACAATGGAACACTATACATTAGTGAAAAAAAACAATAAACTTTATTAAAGAAGTATTTGTTTGTTTTTCCATTTTATGTTCAATAAGCTGCTTAATGGGAGAAATAACCTCACTTAATATTTGTGGGTAACATTACAGCCCCCATTGTTTATGTGAGACATGACTTTTTTCATGTTTTTCTTAATGAAACATGACATTTATATAAGAAATCTATGTATATAAGTAAAATTCTTCCAATAAGTGCTTTGTTTTTGTTTTTGTTTTTTTTTTTTACTTTATAAACAAAAGGCAATTGTCCTTCCAAAAAGTAAGAGTTTAATATACTGAGATCAAACCACTGATATTTCCATGGTGTCTGCTAACACATATAAAATAGGATGTTGAACAGGGAACTTCCTAATTAATGTCTGATATACTTGTGTACTCCTCCACCTGCCTCCAAATTGCCTTCCCCTAAAACAAACCATAAAACCTTCCCATTCAATGTATACTTTTGTGGAAATGAAATGATGAATTCAATATCTACTTCTCTAGATCTCCCATCCTCTCTGACATGCACAATATAAATGAGTTTTTACTGTTAGAACTTTGAGCACCAATTCATATTCTCATAAAAGAATTTCCATCTCCTAAAAGGAGCTCTTGCTATTCACATTTTTAACAACAATAAACACAAACTCTCTTTAGGTTACTATCAGTCATAAAGACATGTATTGTGGTAAAATTTCCCTAGTTCACAACAGATATTTTCTTCTCGAACATCTGATTTTCAGAAGAACAATCCTGTCCTGAATTCTTTGTAATTTTACAAGTTACTTCTTCTCTTTTCCTGGTGCATGGTTTTATTTTTCTAGTGTTTATTTATGGAGGACGCATTCCCTTGTGCCTCTACTATTTCAAGTTCCCCGTCTCTGGTTCTAAGGTGCTGCCTGCCTAAAGCACACCACTTCACTGAACACCTGGCTTCTATAATTCTCTAAAATACAGATGTACAGTTTCTTTTTCTGGCATCTTGGGCAAGGTCCCACTACACTTTTAGGGAAACCAAGATTGTCTATTTTGATAACTACTTTTGCCAAAATAGTTCATTCTTCTCAAGCCTGGTTGAGGGGGTGGAGGGGAACTTTAGAAGTCATATGGGCATAGCAGGTAGCAGAAAACTGACAAAAGACCAGGGCCAAAATCTTCCTCTGTGCCCCTGAAGATCTTAGTTGAAAATGCTCTACCAACATCTCTAACCAGCAAAAAGCCTGGAACACAGTATTTTGCATTTAGAAACTAAGATCACCACCTCTGATTTTGAGAGAGCAGCCCCTGGACGCTACCCGACCAGGTAAGGGAGACCACTGCCCTAATGCTCATAACAGCTCTGAGATTTAATGAAGCATAGACCCATCATCTCTTTCTAGGGCAACATATTTTATTTTTGAGAAACAAAGTAAAGGAGGCTCCCCTTGCAAATGCTGGATTTCTGACAGCTAGTTTTCAGATTTTTCTTTTGCAAGTTGGTATCTAGTCACTCAGGACTCACTGCCTGAAAATCGCTTCCAAAGGGTTCAAGTTTGAATCAATGTAGAGGAGGTGGTACACCGCTGCTTGCTTTCATTAACTCTTACCTCGACCAGAAACCAAGCAGCTATGATGCCCAATCACACTTTCTATGACCATTTTCTTATTTTGTCAGCTGTCTGAGAGTTTTGAGTAGCATTTCCCATTTCTTGCTTTTCAGTACCCACCCCTCGAGCATACTTCCTCAGCGTACCTCACTTGATAGCCTCGCATCAAGCAAAAAATCAAAATTCCAGTTTATGGCAAGAGCAGAATAAATGCAGCAGTCTCCTCTTCCCAATCATTTTCTGACTTTTCCCAAGTTATTGTACCAGCACAAATGCCTTCTACTCCCAAATCACAGCAAGATATCAATAACCCTTAGTAGAAAGACTCCTTATTAGGTCACACAGAGTTATTATGGCTTAATAGCTGTCACCCTCCCAAACTAACCTGTGCAACAGGTGTAGAAAGTAAACTTAGAGGCTCACTTGGCAGCCCCACAAATAGGGCTTCACAGCTCTCACCCCCGTCCTCCCAATGGCCTCTGGTCCCCAGCATGTGAGCCCCTGCCCCTGTAGACCTAAGGAGAAGCCCTTCTCAGTTCAGCTCACCTGTTTGTAGGCATCGAGGAGGAAGCTCTTCCAGACGCAGCGCAGTCCCTCTGAGGTCAGCATGCGCCGCCACTCTCCGCGAGTGGACTTGGAGCGGCTCAACAGCAGCACCACGTGCTTGAGCAGAATGACCGAGTCATAGAGCGCCAGGAAGAGGCAGTTGGAGAAAAAAACTGGCAGAATTTGCAGTGTGATCAGCAAGTCTACGCTGAGGATGCCCATCTTCTCTGCCTCCTGAGTCAGTTCCCTTGTGCGCTCTGGTTCCCCTTCACCCTCTTATTTAAAAGGGGGGTGGTGATAAAGGGGGTGGGGGAGGTAA